CGCGGGTTACCTGTAGTCACACCAGGGGCACCGGTAGGGCTTCTCGCCGGTGTGCACGCGCTTGTGCCGGGTCAGGTGGGACTGCGTCGTGGAGGCGAAGTTGCACTCGTCGCACTTGAAGGGCTTTTCTCCTGCAACAGACCAAGAAGGGCTGCGTGAGGGGTCGGCGTCGGGAGGACCGCTCGCACCTGGGCCGGGCTCAAGAACAGCACCCGGTGCCTGCCGGACGCCTTTACATTAAATATTTAGTAGCTATTGAAACGCCCACCTGTATTCTCAGGCTGAGAAGATCTAAGCTCGCACAGATGCCTACTTCTCCACTGGAAGAGGTGCCAGGCGACCTCATGCGCGTAGAGAACGTTTTTAAATTCGGAAGTGACCTTTCTTACAGCGGTGTAAATTTTGGAACAATACATAACTTTCCCTTCCCCTCAGGTGCGGTCACCCTAGATGCCCGCCCCCAAAGCACCCACAGCCCGTCACTGCAGTCTATGGGCGCTCGCCCCGCCACACACACACCCGCTCTTGCTGCGTGGCGGAAAGCCAGCGCTGCACTGGGGTCTGCTTACAAACTCCCCGCACTGAAGGCAGTCAGCCATCACAGGAGGTTGAAACCATGAGAAAGAAAGCTCACAACAGACACAACTGGCTCAGATAGTGAAGAACTGACCAAGTCTTAGAATTAAATATGGCGAAATTGATAAAATCAGACTATAAACTGACCACAGCCCAAAGCACTGATAAAAAGCACGACAATTCCCTCCATCCAATAAAACACGCAGAAGCACGGAAGAAGGACTGAAGGCGAGAGGGAACCCCACCTTAGGCCCCCTTCCTGCACCCGCCCACACTCTGGGCGCGGCCCTCCGGCTGGAGACCCCTCTGCTTCGGCTGTCTCTCATGACGCGCACACTCACACGCTCACAGCGGTCACTCAGCCTCCAATGTGTCCTTCTAGCTACACTGGCTAGTGGGCACTTGAAATGCAGCTATTTAATATTAATTAGTAAAATTTTAAATTTAAAATTTGATACTGAAAAAAAGACTTGTTTGACAGCTTTTGAATGTTAATCTACTTTTTGAAGTGTAAACTTTATCAAATCGAAATAAAGATCACATTTTGCAGATAAAAATGTAGCATCTGAATTGATGTGATACAACCATAAAATACACATGAAATCTCAAAGTCCTAGAACAAAAGAATAAAATATTACCAGTGATGTTACATGGCTTATCGTGCTGGAATAATCATTAGGATCTGTTTGGTTTCATTAACTACTTCTGGAATAGTTACTTTTTTTTTTTAAATAGGTTATCAGAAAATCCAGACTTAAAGCTGTGTGGCTTGAATGACACTTTTATTGAATAACAATTAACTAAAAAAAGCCTCTCTCTTCTCTTTCCCCCAAAACGGCTATATCACAGATACTTTCTCAACAAATTTTTTCCTTGAAAATTTTCCCTAACGGGTGTTTTAATTTTCTGTACGCGCAGTGATTCCACTTAATATTTATTTCCCATATCCCATAGTAGTTTAGGCATACTGGCTTACCAGAAAGCAGGATGAGAAACACCTCCATCTAAATTTGCTCTCCGTAAGTCCCAGCCGCAAAGCCATGCCCTGAAAATTGGGGAGCTTGGCAACCTGCCCCACAGGCCCCCGGCCCAGCAGAGGGCTGCCGGCCCGGCTGCGCGCCCGCCAGCGCCTCCTCTGACGCGCCGGGGGGCAGCTGGAGTCGGGGTGCCGCATGCGCAGCCCGGGTTTTGCACTCCACGTCTCCTGGATGCGCGGGATCAGGGCAGGCGGCGAGCGGGAGGCGGGGCGCAGCTGCCTCCCAGGAAGCGCTCCGGGACAGAAGAGACCTCCGGAGGGTGGCAGAGCTTGAGCGGAGACCCTCAGCGGACTCTACCAGGAAGCTGCGATGTAGTCTTGTCTGAGACCTCCGCAAGGTAGAGTCGAGTCTGCGCACGGCGAGGAATTTTGCCTTGTGGCCACGTGCCCTCAAGTTCAACCCGGTCTACTGTACAGCAGCCCGGCGGGAAAGGCCTGGTCTCGGTCTCCGAACCGAGGTCAGGTCGCTGAACTTGCAGTGGACAACTCGGCTGTGTGGACGTGACCTGCACAAACAGTCCGTGCTGGTGGCGGGACCCGGCTCGCTATGAGGGGCAGCGTACGCTAATCGTCGTTTTGCACCGGGAAGCTGCTGAAACTCCTCAAATTTGACACAGAAACAGTCTGTGCCATGGGGAGACAGAAATACCACACATAAGCCTGTCTGAAAACGCTCCCATTTAGTGAAGACCTCAACTGTTCGTTAAGCCCCCCGAAGACCCGATATCAAGGAGCTCCCGGCCAGAGCGCAAAGCGGGGCCCTGTCTGGGCGGGAACGGCAGCGAGGTGGGTCTGCGGGGCCCGCCCCGCACGCCGGCCTCTCGGGCCCAAGGAGCCGGGGGTCCACGTCCTGGCCTCAGCCCTGCCCAAGCACTCAAGCACCTGCTTCTTCACTGTTTATCAGACAGGATGCTCTACAAGGGGGCAGGGGTGGAGACGCACTCTGTGCTTTGTTCTCTGGCTTTCCTTGGGTCTAGCTTCCCGTCTGCACTGCTGTGCCCACCCCTGCTGCTCCGGACCAGCCCTGCCGCGTGGAAGGGCGGACCCGTCGCGTGTTTGCATTCTGGGGTGTCGCCGGGGGAGTGCTGTGCACCCGAGTCTTCGCCTGGGCAGAGGCGGCCTTTCGGGCGGTGGCTGCGGCGGGAGGCCGGGCCCCGGGGCAGGGACACACTGCGCGCGGCCTTCGGAGACCCGGCTGCGGTGGGGTGCGGCACGCACGGGGGTTCCCGCCGCTTGAGGTCGCCGCTGAACGATGCTCAACATGTGGAGGACCGAGTCTGCGCTTCCTGGGCAAACGGGTGCAGTCTCTGGCCAAGCGCCTGTTCAAACCCTTTAACCTCTTTCTGATCAGTTTCTTATGCCTTTTTTTAGCGTTCTTCACCTAGTAGAGACACAAATCCTTTGGAAGACTTGGGATTTACAAATATTTTCCCCAGTCTGTGGGCTGTCTTCATCTCTCATGCTGTCTTCTGAAAATAAATATAAATTTAGCTTTCAATGTATTAATTTGTAATTGTCCGTGTTACGATTTCTCTCCTTCAGGAGCCAGACTTCTGACGTGGTACCTACGAGACTTTTGATGATTTGTGTTCACAAAGGTTTTTCTCCTGACTTTTCTTCTAGACTTTTATGTAGCTTCAAGCCGTGTCCTCAGGTCACTGATCACTTGGAGCTAATTCTTGCTGAGCGTGACAGAGGGTCGGGGGCGACTTATTCTGAGGAGCCAGCTGTCCCAGCACTGCGCCCTAGAAACACGGACCCGCCTTTACTCCTCTGTCAAAAGCCAGCCAGCCGGGCCCCACGAGGCACCTGCCCGCCCAGCACAGGGCTGAGTGATTTCACTACGTGGCTGCATACCACGCCTGAAGCTAGCGCCCTAGGGCTGCAATACGGACTTCTTCGCAAAGCTCCAGACACTGCATCTCCACACGAATTTTAAAATCGTCTTGACAATTTCTTAAAAAAAGAAAACGGACCGATGATATTTGAAGCAATCCAAGTAAGAAATGAAACCCTGGCGAGAGCTGAGTTCTGATCTCTGCTCCCGGTCCACCCGTCCACCTCCGTCGCCTGAGCTGCTGCCAGCGTCCAGTGGAGAGGCCTGGCGCTGTCCCTGGTGAGTCCTCTCACCCCTCCCCGCATCTCTGCCCTGCACCCCAGTTCTTGTGTGCGTACGTAAAGAAAATGAAGACAAAAGCAACAACTAGCGCACACATCGTGCGCGGATCTGTGCACCGTGAGGCAATGTAACACTGCCACGTGACTGCAGCTATGCCCTAGAACCCCAAGTGAAGAAGCGTCACTCTTCCACGCTAGCACAGTGAACCTAAGCGGCCCATTTCAGCGTTTCCCCGTCAGGTAAGTTCACAAATACATTCTGATGCTTTCTGTTTCCGTTCGACCTATTTGAAAATGTGCTGGCATCACAGTTCACTGCTAACTTGTGTGTTCCGATACCCCCGGTGGAATCTGGTGCTCCTCTCACACGACCGCGGGAGCGTGGGCAGGGAGCGAGGGTGACCCTGCGGACTCACGGCGTGAGGCGGAGCACAGATGCGAGGCCACCTACTCGCTCCGGCTCAGAGACAAACATAAGCTTTTAAGGAATATATTAAATACGGCTTGTTTCACTGAAACTTAGGGCACTTTTCTGTAACACTATTTAAATTTAAACGCAACAATTTCCAAGAAAAATGCCATTTATATTCTTTGTAATTCTAATAATTTGAAGCGCGCAGGGAGCCAGCATCGTATTGCAGTCTGTCACGAGCTGCCGTTTCACGGTTAACTTGACGACGCTATAGCTTAACTTGCGCAATATGACATCATTAATTACACTCAGGTTGACGAAGAAAAAAGACAGAGGTCCGACGTGCGGCGGGCTGTGGCGCCGCTCGGTAGCCGCCTGGGCTCGCACGAGGAGCAGACGGGTTTTCTCAGACACGACGGGCGCCCGCGGCCACGCGCCAGCACCCGGCTGCAGGCCCTGCCAGGCCCCGCCTCTGGTCCACGTGCGGTTTCTTCAGGGAATTACTTCGGAAATAGCGAGGCGCTTTCTTGCTTGTTAGTCTCCACGTAGAGCCAAACTCATACGGTCAACATCTGGACTATAAAATCGGAAATGACAAACGCTGCCGAAGAATTTCAGTGAATGCTGCGAGATGAGAGGCGTCCCTACACCTAGCAGGGACAACACTTCTGACCGACTGGCCAGCTCATCTGCTTAGGAAACAGCCCCTTGGGGTGGCGGAGCCAGGGCCGACACGTGACCAGAGCGACGGCACTGGGGCAGTGTCCCGTGAGCCGCAGGACCCGTGCGCACGGCCTCCCCGGCGGCGGGGGCTCGCCGCCTCTCGCCTTCTCTGCAGGACAGCACGTCTTCATCTGCACGCTGTTGCTCTTCCCACTCCTGCAGGGCCAACCGCGGCCGCCGCACGCCCGCCGTGGAACACTCTGCCCTCAGGCGCTGTGACAGGAGCCGCGTGCCCGGGGCCCGGGGCCCGGCCGGGCCAGTGGATGTGGAGCCGGCCAGGCCGCTCGTCTGCGCGTGAGGATTTGCTCTGTGCCCTTGAATCAGGGGTCTCTGACAGGTGATAAAAGTAAATCTTGGAATGGGAGATGTTTCGCGTCAGCCCCCTCGACAGGCTGATTGCAGCCGGGAATTATTTATGCCATTCGGGGCGCTTCTGATACCGATCCCTTTCCAAGCTGACGGGAATGTGCGTGGGCCCTCTCTGGCAAAAGGTAAACCGTGTCGAAGAGGGATACATCAGAGAGATACAGATTCCAAGTGCGACACACAACCCTGGGCTTGGGGAGAAAGTTGTTGCTGCTTGAATATTATAAATCCAGCACAAGAGCCGGGGCCTGCACTGAGTTGTGCTAAGCTGTTCGGCTGCAGCAAACAGTCTTAAGAACTGACTTTGGTATTAAAGAATCGTGTTTGATTTGTGCCAGAGAGGCAGATAAATGCCAGCAAGACAGATGCCTCTGTCTGTGAGACAGTGTCCTGCGTGGTGTAAAGTTAATAGCAAAGTAATAAGGAGCCGCTGGACCTGACATAAAATATAAAGTTGTGCCGGCTCGATGCAGGCCTCGTGATGGATCACCTGTGACGCCCGTGCTCACAGCACTGCCGCCCGGGTGGCACGGGCGAGCAAGGCCGCGCGGGCCCCCGGCCACGGGAGGAGGGCGTCCCCCGCCGCCCGGGCGTGGCCAGGGAGCACCGGCCGCACGTGCAGCCGTCGGGGAACAAAGCAGAGCCCCCAGGAAGCCCAAACACACAGGGCAGCTTCTCGGCCACAGCGGCGGCCTTCACGCCCGGGGCCGGCGAGGCATCGCAGACGCTCCCAGCGGCTGCGGGGGGCGTGAGGTGACCACGGGTGCGTGTCCAGCACTCTCACACGTTGAGGGTTTCCCTTTAACTCAGCCTCACCTGGATCCCGAATCGTAAACACTGAAAACCTACAAGGAATGACCGGCGTTACCAACAAACCCCAGCCGGGGGCAGCCAGCCCGCAGCGAACCGCCGGGCGCCCCGGGCCACTAAGGCGGCGTGGTCACATGACTGGCCGTCGCTGCCAGTGACGGAGGTCCTGGCGGTAAGCGGGGGAGCAGCGCACAGACCAGCAGTGTGGCGGGCATTTGGAATTATTAAAATAATTACGAATCCGACCTGTGATCGCAAACCAAGCCGGTAATCAATTTCAATAAATGCTTAAGACTCTTCAACCGTAAGCGTTTCTCGCCAGGAACCTACTCTGCTGTCGACTCTCCCGGAAGGCGCATCATTAAAAGCCAGCTCCCCGCACCCTCCCGCGCGGCGTCCTCACTGCCATGCCCTCTTCCTTGCAAAGGCCACAGCACTGGCTAACGCCACACCTCCAGCAGCGCGGACGGGCTGGGTGCAGAAGCACCAGCAGGCGGCGAGGAGAGGGCGCCCGCCCGATGCCCGCGCCCGCTGCGGCCCCGCCCAGGGCCCCGGCGCCCACAGCGCGGCCGGCCACACGCGGAAGAACAGGTGATCCAAACGCACGCCACGCCAGCACGGTGCTCAGTGGCTGCCACGCACACGGACTTTAGCAAACTTGCGACACGGGCGGGCCCGGCACAGACCGCGGCGGCCCGCTGCTACTGACCTGTGTGCTGCCGGCGGTGCTTGGTGAGGGCGTGCCGGGTCCCGCCAGCAAAGCCACAGAGGTCGCACAGGAACGACTTCTCGCCTGTTGCAACAATAAACAGATGAGGGACTGCAGAGGTCACAGATCATTAAAACATATCTATCAAGGCTTTCAGGGTTACTAATTCCTCCAATCAAATGTTTCCATGTAAATATGTCAAATGGGAATGAAATTACCACTGCGGTTTATTGACTGTGATAAAATCTGAAAAGCACCACTGAACATAATTACATACTTGTCAGACCCATAAAAATTAGCTTTATTATCAATGGAATGGTTTTGTACAACTTCATTTCTGGTAGATGTCTTCCAGATGGGGCTGCTTTATGCACTTGAACAGTTTTTATGCATACCCTGATTTTTTACAATTCCCATACATCTGGCTTTCCGAGCCGAGTAAAGATTGCTTGGAATAGTTAATATATAGTCTGTATGATTCTGCTTAAATAAAGCATACTGAATTTTCTAACTACCAAAGGATACTGAATTGGTTTCACCTGATTCTATCAGGTCTTCTCTAATAACTTCCCACTCAATAATATGAACTAAACGGCTTCCCCGCACACACTGGAGATCCCCAAAACAATAAAATGCACAAACTCAGCACCGACAGCTCTTCAGGGCTGATTGTTTCTCAGATTTTCACGGCACAAACAAGAAGTTTGTGGGGTGCCAAAGCGCTCCCACTCCTCATCTGTGACACTATCTGGACAGAAGACCTCGCAACAATTAGAGACGGAGCAGGCGGACATGTGCTAAAAATATCAAATGCTCGCTTTGGGCGAGGGCCTTTCCGCACGCAGCACTCGGCCGGCGGCTGCCCAGGCAGCCTCCTGGCCGCGGCACTGCTCGGCCGAGGCCGGCGGCCCGGCCCGTGGGCTGGGGAGAGGGCACGGGGCCGAAACGGGGACTGGCCGAGATTCGGGATGTCATAAAATCCTTTCCTAGAGAGCAGAAGAAGCCACTTGCGTCGACCTCCATCTTCCTAACTCGTTTAGATACGATGCAACAAGTCCTCCAGTTTACCCTGGGTGCTGCTTTGCTCTCAAGTGTCTTTATGCAGGGACAGAAACTACCTCGCGGCCCTTTGGACGTGGCAATGGCCATCCCAGTGCCGGCAGAGAACAGTGAGTGTGGGGAGGCCCTCAGCTTCGGCATCGGGCGGCACGTGCCGCCCGACGTGGGTGCCGCCAGCTTGTCTGGGCAAGCAAACATAGGCCCGCACAGTTCTAACCAAATTGTGCTTCATCTTATTTCCCAATGGTATGTTAAAATGCTCTATTTTAAAGTAACTCTTGTCCCTTATAAAACAGAGCCGGGTTTAAGGATTTGCCCTGCCCGACTTACTATGTGGGGTTAAGTTCAAAATGGGAAGAGAATAGAGTAGATGGGCTGCAAAGAATAAAGTTTAATTATGATCACTCATTTAGCTATTTAGCCCATTTGAAATAGAAATCTTTCTAACTAGCTGTATTATCAATTAAATCCAGTAACACTGAACGTAGGCTGTTTTTTTTTGTTTGTTTGTTTTGTTTTTTTTCCCTTCCAGAAGATAATTTCCTCAGGAATATGAACACACTGTTCTGCGTGGGGCAGGAGCCAAGCAGCCTGCAGGCGAAGCCCGGTGTGTGCGAGGTGTGTGCCCTGCAGGCCGGCCGGCCAGCGGGCCAGGCCTCGGAGGAGAAGAGCGCTTTAATCCTGGCCTTCAGGGAAGCGAGAGAGCTTTACCCCAATAGTGAACTTCTTTGTGATCGCCATCATTCTTACAATAAAAACATTAACAAAAACGCTATTCTTCCTGAGGGTAGTGCCCACAGCCGCACAGGCGGCAGGCGCGTGTGGGGCTTCATTCCCTTTCCCATTTGAAGCGCCGCATAGCGTGAAGACAAGTCGTCAGCCCCCGGGGAGGGGTGGGGGGCGCAGCGACCTTGGCTTTCGGGGCGCAGGGTTCTGAGGCCGTCCCTCTGCGAGGGCGCATATGCCATGTTTACCTTGGTGGTGTGATTTGTTTCCATTCCAAATTCAATTTTCACTTGCTTTTTTTTTTTTTTTTTGAGGGGGTAGGAATTATGGTTGGATCGTAAGCAGCAGAGTGTTTTCAAGAAAAAAATTCAAAAGAAAAAGGCAAACTCAGGTCCTACTCGGCGTGCGAGGCTATTTCCCAAGCCGATTTACATGGCTGAGGCATAATAAGAGACTTTTCTTAACAAGTGGAATTAGTTTCAAGTGTGCCTCTTTACATTCAAATGTGGAAGAACATGGAAACCAATCCTTTATTTTCCATCAGAAAACGGCCGCTGTCCCTCTCTCTCATTACGGTGCAGACTACAAGACCCAACAACAAAAATCCATATTATTGATCCAGCCAAGTCTCCACAATTATTCTTTAGAAGGAAACGCCGACGATAAATTACATCTGCACTGGCTTTTCATCTGCTGTTCGATATAAGTGATCTCTCAGGGCAGGCTGGAGACCTTAAATCGTCAACGCCCTTGTCAAGGAAGCTAAGGAGGCCTGGGCTTCCCACAAACTGCTTCAGAAGAACTTTTAACCTATAATTTCTAACAATAATATAGGATTCTTGGCGATCAGAAGAGCATTTGGGAGTGATGATTAAAATGTATTAATTTTCTCTCTGAGACAAACCGCACTCTGAGCGGTCTGCGAGGGACAGCACCGGCCGGGGCGCCCCGGGGCGCGGCCACGCAAGCCCCCCAGGAGCTCCCGCCCGCTGGCTCAGTTCCGCACAGTCTTTCGTTGTTTCGGGGTGAAATGTATGTGACTTTGTACTTGGTAAATGTCACCTAGAAACGCCGGCGCCTCTGTGCCAGGAGCTGACCCTGTTGCCCTCCTCAGAGAAACGCTGACTCAGCTAAGCATCTTTAAATGGGGCCCCACACCAAGACCCAAGTGCCCGGCCGCAGGGCGCCGGTTCTCACGAGCACGCCGCGTTCCCGAGCGATGCCACGGAGAGCCGTGCGCGCGGGCGGGGGCGGGCGCCCACCTGTGTGGGTCCGGTAGTGGTCCTTCATGGCGGAGGCCGTGAGGAAGGAGTAGTGGCACGTGGGCCAGGAGCACTTGAACGGCTTTTCTCCCGTGTGCAGCTTCATGTGGTTGTTCAGGGCCCACTTCTCGGTGAAGCTTCGGTCGCACAAGTGGCATGTAAATTTCCTGCGCGGGGAAAGAGAAAAGAACGTAAGCGCGGCCCACTCGGAGGGGCCCAGGCCGCCCGGCCCGCCGCCCGGGGCCCAGATCCGTGCGCCGCAGGAGGCCGGCGGCCTGGTCTGTCATGTCTGTATAACCAGGCATTGATTTTTCTGTCGGGGCCTGGCACTTCAGCCATTTATTCTCTGCTTTGCGGTTGGGCCCAACGGGTTTGAAAAATTCTGTTACAGTCCAGTCACCCCTGAGGCAAATGTGAGAATAGATTTCACCTGTACAGGCCTCCACCACTTATCCAGGGCATGGCTGTCAGAGCAGAGGCTAAATGAAAAGCTATCCATACTGAACCACTCAGACAGGCCTGCTCTCTGCCGGGCGGCGGCGGCCGGGGCTGCTGGCCGGGGCCAGGGCTGGCCCGCCTGGACAGCACTCTGCCCACAATGTAGCCGATGGCCACTACAACGCATCCCTGCAAGAACAGGAAAATCCCAAAGGCATTCCCCGGACGAGGTACCCTGGGTACTGCGTTTCCTTTGATCAGAACAAAAATATGTCCTATAAACTACAAAACCTGTCTTTGAGGAAAAACCAGCCTCAATTCTGCCTCTGAAAAACAAACAAACAAAAAAACACCTGGAAGTAACAAATCGGCACTCACACGAGAGAGCGCTCCTGCTCGCAGTCCGCAGCGTGAGATCGCCCAGTGTCTGCCATGACCAAGGCAGCAGGAGCCTCTGAGCGCCCCGGGATGCTTCCTCGGTTCCTGTTCTGTGCCCTCCCCGTGCCCGCGAGTCATCGCTAAGCCGTGTATTTCATTCCGCCACGACTGAGCTGCACCGACCCCTGTGGCGACCGCAGGAGTGTCCAACAAATTCACTCAGGGCAATCAGCAGCCAAACAAAGGCGATCCCAAACCCAGTGTTCGAAATTCACACGTGTCAGTAAACCATGACGTGCGGTGCCAAGAAAAAGACTCAGGGGCGTGGCCTGACGACGAGGAACCGGGCTCTATTTTCAGTATGTTAATGCAGTTTACAAATTAGGCTGCAATCTCTAAATTAGGATATAAGTAAGGGGATGTAAAAGGAGTATATGTCCCCATAAAGCCTTTGATCAGGATTTTAAAATTTTCCTTAGTCCTGTCAGGGTAGGAAAGGATCCCGGGCCTCAACCGGTCAGCTCTCCCATGGTGAGACAAGTGCGCATTACAGTGACTAATTAATCACTAGGAGTCTCACAAATTCTTAGGACTGAACTTTTAAGTTACCTTGTGTAAAAATCCCTCTTCATTTGTTCCATGTAACCATATTTTTAACGTCAGATCTTAAGTGGAAGAGAAGTAAAAACTGCTAGCTATTTAAAAGAAACATCACATAAAATATCATAAATGCTTATTAAAATCATCAGTTAATAGATCTCTATAATGGATGTGGGGAGACATCATATTTACGCCCATGAACACAGAATGAAATCACCACATGATTTGATCATTGCTTACGGGTGCTAGAGAATGACAAATAGAACTAAATACTTTGAAATACACTGTAAAAAAAAATCATGTCCGTATATCTCTTTGACGGGTCTTCATGCATTTAACATTTCAAAACCGTGACAGGGATCTTATTTCCAAGATAAATTCCCCTATCTGCTTATTTCTTCATGTATTTATTGTGGATCTAACCTTCTCCTACAAGAAATAAATAAGGAGGTTAAGTAGATGCTATCTTTTAACAAATAGTTTCTCCAGACTGTATTACAACTTTATGAATGACAAACTAAATCCCTCATTTTTAAATCTACCATGATGCACATTTAGCAAAATTACATCTATGAAACCTCAATATATGTACTCTATTATTCATACATAATAAAAATGTTAAACTTGAGC